TTTTTTTTTTTTTCATCACATCTACTACAATTTTTTTGTTTAGACTAGGACAAGCTAAAAATGAAAAGCTAAGCAAAAAAAAAAGAAGCATTTTATTTAATTTTCTTTTTCTGTTCTGTCTTATTTATTCACAACAAAAAATTCTAAAAAGCAGCAGCATTGTTCTCGTCAACATTTCCTCAGTATCATCTTTGTTGGGTAGGGAAAAAAAAAGGAGATGGTGAAAAACTTACTTCTCTGTTGTTAAATTGGTCAACAAAACTAGCCCAAAAGTATCGCTTAACTATTGTTGGTAAACATAAAAAAGTGTACAAAAAAAAAAAAAAATTTGTTGCTTAATGGGTAAATGGCAATATAGCATCAAAAAAAATTGAAGAAAACAACATAGATGATGTTGGCACGGCGAATGATGATGACGATGATGTGCAGATTTATTATGATTTCTCAATAATGATCATTGATAGACAATTAAAGTAGTATTTTAAAATTTAAAATATTTCTTTACTGATACTGTTAATTAGGTGATAAAAAAAAACACACACACATACATATCGACACAAAAAATGAATCAAAAAAAAAATTTGAATATAGAAAAAAGTTAATTGAAAAAAAGCGCTTACTGAGTGCGAAGTGTAAATGCGGCAGAGGTAATTGACGATGGTAAATTGAGACCTTTTGTAATTTCTCGCCAAAGTTTTTTGTTAATAATTTCAACAAGACCGCCATGTTGCACAACCAAACGATAAAGCTCATATAAATCTAATACCTGTTTTGCCATTATTGGTATTCGTGTCACTGGTTTGCCTGTAAAAAAAATTATCAACAAAATTATCAACAGCACTGCAATAAAATTGTATTTTTGAAAAAAAAAAGCTTGCAACAGTTGAATAATTTGAATACATTCAATTAGTTAAGTTTCAAAATTTTTTTGTTTTTTCACTGCTGTATCTCAACGGTCAATTCTATGAATCAACAGTATAAGCAGATTATAATTCTTTTTTTAACATTATTTTTCCTTTTGCTTTTTTTTTTTTTCATATTGGTTGTGGTTCGCTGTTGTAGGTTAACATTTTGTTTGTTCTTTACTGATTTATTAACTGTTATCTGCAACAGCAGCAGCAGCAGCAGCAAATTCAGTAGTGAAGAAAATTACGGCAACA